TATGAAATGAGTGTGTAGAATAAATATCAATATTTTCAACATCAACTGTTTATGTTTATCTGCTTACAAGATCTAAAAAAATAACAGCAGAAATAAATGCCTATGTGAACTACAGTGAAAATACAAACAAAACCCTGCCACAGAAATAACCTTTGCTTCAATGATCACACCTAAAGCAGTGCTCACATATGACAACAGCATGTTCCATATACAAGTCTCACACTGACAGCACATGTGCTTAGCTTTCCTTTTCTTTTTGGCAATCGTGCTTTTCACTTCTCTTCCTCTTTTGTAAGGAGCTCCTTATTATACAATGTCCACTTAGCAGGAAAATAAAATACTAATAAAATAAAATATCAAATATATACTGAGTATTTAGAATAAACATCAACATTTTCTATATCAACTGTTTACTAAATCTAAGCAATAAACAACAGAAATAAATTCCCATGTGAACTACAGTGAAAATACAAATAAAATTCTACCACACAAATAATCTTTACTCCAAATATCACACCTAAGGCACTTTTCACACGAGAACAGCACATTCCATACACAAGTATCACTCACACTGACAGTACATGTGTTTTGTTTTCCTGTCTTTGGTGGGACATACTTGATGTCTTGCTGGTCTTCCTGTTTTGTTAGAAGGTTCTTGTGATATCCCACCTGTCTGTTCACTGGTCTTCTCCAAAATTCTTTTCCGTAGTTCTTTGGGTAGATACATACTGTTCTCCCTCTGTTGTAATTGATGTTATCAATTCCAGTCCCAAATCCTCTAAGAAAATTTCCCTGTGATATTTTGTGTTTGTTATTTCTTTGTAAACTATTAATACTTAGGATCTGGTAAAACTCAACCACTGGCCAACACGTTGTATTTCGAGTGACATCATAGTTGTTGCATAACTCATCAACATCTACTTTGCCTTTCATTTTCTTGTAAAATGTAACCATTTCTGCCTTTATTTGTGTTGGGGATTCAAGCACGAAATAATGCAAGTTGTTTGTCAACTGTCATGTATTCAGACAGTATAAATTGCTTGACAGTTCAAAACAAAGCTTTCAACAATGAGCAAACAACATACACATTGTTGGGCTTTTTTCTTTCTTGGCAAGTCTTTTTGTCATCAAAATGTAGGCATTTTTGAAGGAAATCAAATCTCTTGAGTCTCATTATTGTTCTAAAAATCTCAGCACACATCTGTCACTTCTTTGTAAATCCTTTAGCTGACAATTAGAATGATAAAGTGCTGCTATGAAGGTTTCTAGTTCAGATAGTGAGGTGTCATGATAAATATATTTTTGAGTATTACTAATGGTGCATCGTCTTGGTTACTTTTCTCTTGTTGCTAAGACAAAATACCTAATGCCCAAAATTCAGGAAGGGAAGGTTTATTTAGCTCACAGTTTGTGGAGGTTTCAGTCCATAATCAGCTGGCTCCAAGGCAGGGTAGGGTGGCATGGCACAAGGGCAACACTTCAAGGTGGCAGAAGATGGCAAAAGCAACAAGAGCAAAATTGCGGGGGAAGCAAGCCTCTTTTTCCTCCCTTATATTGTATGCCGGCTATCTGCCCACACCCACACTGTCTCTGCACCCTCCTCTTGCACAGTCTCAGGATGTAGAACTGCTAAGTCACTTAGCCAAGCCTCTAGACTCAAGTTGACACAATATATCAACCATAACATGCATATAGAACGTTTTCTTATATTTTGTTATTAGTTTTCTTGTATTTTGCTATTAGTATATTTCAAAACATCTTATAGCATGTCATCTGTTACAAACAACAAAAATAAAAACAATAACCTAATAACCTAATAACATTTTCTGACCTAGTTCTAACATTAGATCATTCAGATATACATGATCATTTTGACTAGTCAAATATTTATTTACTGTTTTTGACCTCATCTGAATCAAGGTCTTCATTCTGTACCTCTCTGTTATCTCTCTGTCTGTTATATCTCTACCTGCCATATCTGTTATATATTGCTAACTTCTTCGGCTTACATCTTCCAAGTCATCATTGGTGGCTGAGTCACCTCACGACTCACTTTCAACCTCTTCTCAAAGTTATAAAAGTGGATTTTCACATGACATTTTAATGAACTGGGCTAATTCTACAAGAGAAATCAAAAGAAAACATTCCATAAAAAGTTATAAAAAGCTGGGGATATAGCTCAGTAGTATAAGTGCTTGCCTGGCAAGCCTGAGGTCATAAGTTCGATTCCCAGTACCAAAAAAAATTTTAAAAATTTAAAAAGTTATAAATGCACAAAAATGTAACACAGCATATAATGTGGGTAAAGCTTACCCATTTACACTTTAACACAGGTGTGAACACCTCGCAGTTTGTCATACCAAGTGGGTGAATGGAAAGATTGATTTCTTTATTCCTCCAGCACAGCTACCGGTGTGCACAGATGCCTACCGTTATACGAAAACACATATTTTCCTTAGAAGAGTATGGTATGGGCATCTGCAGCCAAGTATGAGGGACTGAAGGTTTAAATAAAAAATTAGTTAAAAGAAAAAATAGTTTGATATGTTCAGTTCAAAAAATTTTCCTACCATATTGAAGGTAACATCTCCTAAATAGCGTCCTATGAAAATAAAACAAATGATAGTGAGAGCTGCTTATTGAAATTTAAAATTAAATTTTAGAGAAAATACTGAATATATCTGTAATTGTCTTTACTATACCACAAATCTGCATTTAAGAAACTAAATGTACTCTTAACATCAGGAAACTGCAACATTACAAGGTACATTGCTTTATTGACTATATAAGAAACAAAATAAAGGATAGATAATAGGAAGTAGGGAAACAGATGTTTCTCAAATAGCAACGGATCAAGAGATGGAGAGAGGGGATAGGAAAGGGAGGAAAAGGGAACAAAAAAAGGAATTAAGATGTGTTATATGCATGTACCAAACATGCACTAATTTTTAAAAAATAAAAATTCAGACTGTTCAATGACTGCTTATCCTGTTATGTAACTTGTCATATGCTTTCAAAATGTCCTTTAACTCTGTCAAAATTTAAATATGTTAAATGTAAGTAAAGGGCTAAAATTTGAGTTGGGTCCTGAACAAATGACAGGATTTTAAATTAGGGCTGGGGGTATAAAAAGAGAAGAGGGGGAGCTGGGGATTTAGCTTAGCGGCACAGCACCTGCCTGGCAAGTGCAAGGTCATGAGTCCGATTCCCGGTACCAGGAAAAAAAAAAAAAGAGAGAAAGAGAAGAGGGGAAGAAAATAGGAGAGGTGTAAGGTATATTCTAAAGCACTGAATGAACCATAGTGCTGAGCCAAAAGTGAATATACGATAGCTTTGACCAACTGCTTTCTTTCCCTGAAGACTTTTCTCTTATGTCTGCCATCATTCTAAAGGATTTAATCAACCAAGTGCATTATATATCCAACTAGCCTCTTAGTTTTTCCCATCTTAGTTACTTTTCTTATTGCTGAGGCAAAATACTCAACACCCAAAGTTAAAGTTTATTTAGCTCACAGTTTATAGAGGCTTCAGTTCATAGTTGGCTGGCTGGCACATGGCAGAGGAGCAATAGTTCAAGGTGGAGGAAGACACCAAAAGCAATGAGAGAGGTGAGGGGGTGGGGGAGACAGACAGACAAACTACCGGGATTAGGGTGGGGCTGATCCAATCAGTGGACTGATACAGCAATCACCCACCCTTAATTACAGCATCCTTAATCCCAGCATTACACTATGAATCAATTCCACACTCTAGATTCAACCACTTCTGAAAAAGAACCCTATGATCACAAGAGGCTTTGTGGGGACATCTGGACACAAACCATAACCATAACCCCTCATGCTACTTCATTCACTGCATCATCAAACCCCAGGCTTTACTGTCAACAGAAACTATAGAATCACCAATTCAAATATCCTTCCAATCCTTGTTAAAAGTTTCTTTATGGAATAAATTTTCCTCTCCTTAAAATTTCCAGGGCACTGATAGTATTTTATCTTCACCCACTGGCCTTCTCTGGTCTTCTTCCTTCCTTAACTATGTGTTATACTAGCAACCATCATAATCATTATTCTCATACCTCTTTCCTTTATCATACATATCTGACAAATGTTCAACCTTACATGAGCCCTGCATCCATCTACTCTGGACCTTGAGTACAACTGAGTGTTGAGGAAAATTGTTCCATCTGCACAT